TTTCTTTCACGATGTATACCATGTTATATACAATATCAAATAAAGAAATGATGCTTACCTATGAGGGGAAACTCCCCAAAAAAATAAAATAAAATAATAACCATTTTTTATTTATTGATAACTTGAGAAAGTACAGTAAAATCTTATATTTTATACTTGTCTACAATAAAATATTAATAATACTAATAAAGATAGTAATTTTTGTAATAAGAAATTTAAATATAAACTAAATAAAGTATGTTAGACAAGATTTGACTAGTTGAAAAAACTTTTAACTTTCTATTAGAATTAAACTTTATAAATATTTCCAATATAATATTTCTTTAAAGAGCTTGATCCATATATTTTCTGTTATTAATTTTCAAATTCATAAAGAAGAAAAATGGATTTAGAAAAATAATAATTTATAAATATCAAAAATTCTTTAAAAACTAAAGGATTAAGAGAACAGATTTGTAGATCGCTACAGATTAAAGGATATTACGGTTGGCCAAATATAAACATATAGTATGTACACATTTTACTTTGTAATTCGCGAAGCTCGGTTTTTCTTTATTAATTTTAGCCTTCGAAATTATGTTTACATATGAACATTCAACGCAATATCAGTCCTGGTATCAACCACAAATTACTAACGTAAGTTTGTCTCGAGTGTTTCGACCAATTTCCGAGAAAAAGAATAAACAGTTAAACGTTTTTTTTTTCGAAATACTAGTATAATGAACTTTCCGAAGCGCCACCTGGAGTAGATATATATTTCTCCTCAACACGTATGGATAAAATTTTTTATTGAATTTTGAATACGAGTATTGTAGATAAACTTTGATCATATAATTTACAGCTATCGATAAATCAACTGCTGAACAAAAATGGTTTAAGGCATGGCTCAGGACGCGTAATATCACCAACGAAGAACCAAGACAATCTGCTCTTAACGCTACGAATCTGCGCAACAAAATACTTGAGACGAAAGATGAATTGCAAAAGCTTAAAGCAATACTTATGGAATTGAAGGGTTCGACAAATCAAGACGAATGGAAATTATTGGTCGAGAAGATTGAAAAATCTAAAGTATGTTAAAAGAAATTTCATATCATATTAGCAACTCAATAGATTAATATACTTCATGTATTTTAGAACGCATTCGAATCAAACTTAGCCTTTATATTCGACAAAAAATTTGTCGATAAAATGAAAATGAAGTTATCAAAGAGCAGACGTCATAAGGTACAAATTATTATTAAAGATTGTTTACAGATCAAAATTTGTTAATTGATCAATTAGTTAATTTTCTTATAATGAAGAAATGGAATAAGAAGCATATCCGTGGGTTACAGGATGTACGTGATCAGAGGCAACTTCAAAGAGAGACGCTGCACAAAACTATTGACAAATGGAGAACTGAGTGGATTGCTAAAGAAATAGCCATGAAGAGGGTGAGTGTGTTAAGGTAGGAATAAGTCTTGCAGGTATGACTAACTCCATTGACATATATACGTGTAGGAGCAATCAAGGAAGGAAGAAGCCGAAAAAAGAGTTCAGAAAGCTGAAGCGAATAAAAGCAAACACAGAGAACTTTCGAGGCTTCTCGAAAAAGTAAAAAAACTAAGAGACCTTCGTAGAGAGCGTTTAAAACGGGAAGGTTAGAAAATATGATATTTCTTCATAAATATTATCATATCAATTTTTCTAATTTCGAAATTTCATGGATACAAAGGTCATTTCTTCCCTGAGGAGGACGATGAATTCTTTAACAAAATTGCGTCATTGAATGATGCTATGAAAATTGAGGAGGAGAGGCTTGATCAAGAGAGAAATGCAGCCGCAGAACACAAAAGGAATGAGGCAATGGACGCAGGAATGAAAGAACGTGCACGTGAAAGAGATCCTATTTATGAATATTGGCATCAGGCAGAGTTCGATATCGACAATTTAGTCTTAATAAGGTCAGTTATTCATTCATTTACTTATTTATTATCCATCTTTTTTTTTTTTAACATGCCATTTTTTTTACCTTTTAAACATTAGAAAACGATGGGATTCTTATTTGGTTGCGCCTGGTACGGCAGCAGCATCGTGCATACCGTCAACACTCGTAGAGCCTTCACCACCCGCCAACCACATTTGGGCATCATGTCTTACGCATGATCATAATAATGTTTGATAGTATTATTTTTGCGTCTATTTTATTTTTTATTTAACCTTCTTTTAAACCTTTACACAAAAACGTCTAAAAATAGATTGTAGAGTTGAAATGGTAGTAGGATTTCTTTTTCCTAAAATTACCATTTTTAAGGAGAATCATATCATCAACTGATTGGTGGCAAGGGATCTCGAACGTTATTTTTTTGGCGATTATACGTGTCACCGTTCTATTCTGATCGGCGTCGATCACTTTAGCCGTCCAAAATGACGGAAAAGCTACCATGATCACATTACGAAAATAGCGTTATTGAGGGTTTGAAGGAATGCAATTAGATCGTGTTAATGGTGCAGAAATTAACCTGAATAGCTGTCAGAATTATTTAATAGTATTATAGGATGCATGTGCGATGAATTTGGTAATTTAATAAAAAATACTACCATTCATATGCCAAATAATAAAATAATAAATCAAACATCTAAGCAGGCTCACGTCAATGTTTGGATGCAATTTAGATTGCACAGTCTATTATTTTGGAGTTTTCTTATCAACATTTTCTCTGACATTTATTATTCCATGTATATTTTCAAAATATCAATTTCTATTTTATTACTTTTTTTAAGAATCATATTAAGAAGTAACAACTTCTTTCAAAATGTAAACTTTGGAAAAATTTTCTTTTTCATGGTTTTTTAGAAAAAGAATAAATAATTTATTTTCTTCAAAAGATTAATATAATTATTATCACATTTGATATTATTTATTTGTTAATAGTTAAATTAAATATATCTAAGAAACTATTATATAATTATTATTATTTGAATCTTCAAGAAGTTGCATTTTACAATATTCAAAGAAAAATAATAGCCAATGTCAATATAATTAATATTATATTATATTAATTACTTTTACAAACAAGTTGATAATAATAACAAAAGTTTCTCATTTATTTTTTAACAATATAGATTTATTATACAAGGCTAGATAACAATACTTATAAAAAACAACAATATTATTTTATATCTAAATATTTTTGACCTGTGGGTCTATAGCACAGTGGTTAGTGCTTCACAGGTCAGATCACAAGATATCGGTTCAACTCCAGGTGAATACAGTTGAATAAAAAGAATAAAATATAGTATCTGACACCATAACCTGTCAAAGTGTCATTTCTCATACAAGCTATTTCACATGCGATCATGCAAGCAATGAGATTGTGACTATCAAGAAAAAGGCATAGTGGCGTGACGATCATCCGGTTGGTGACATGATGATCGCCAGAAGTAGCAAGAAATGTGTAGATACCTGTTTCAGTAAGAATGAAAAGAATTGGTAATTGTTTCCCTATGGGTATCAAGGTGTCTCTTCCATAAAAAGGTTTCCCAATCCAGTAATACGTCGGCTTGCTAGTTACCTATCCCGGAAAGGCAGCTACAAAAGCAGAAAGATTTTGGCCATTCTTGGGTAGCTAAAAAGAAGATGATAATTACAGATAGAATTGAAGTTAGTATCAGATAGAAAAGAAAGAAATGTGATAGGTAATGCTT